TGCAAAAATTAGGAACAGAGTTGTGAAATTGCAACGTAGAGTTACTTTAAGCTTTAGTTTACTTTAGCTTCAGTTTTACAACCAGGTCTTTGCAGTGCTGGTGCTCGTGCCGCTCGAAGAGGGATAAGGCGTAAGGCCCACCGCCTCCTTCCCCTTCCCCCGCCCCTCCCTGGATCTGTTTGTGATAATGCACCACCTCAACATCAACGCGGCATCCCACCGAGAATATTTTTTGGTGTTGCGATCACTAAGTAAGTCTGCTTTTGGTGATTCCCATAATCGTTTCCTACTTTGCGCATTTCCAAAAACTATCATATATTTTTCCGCGTTACGGCAAAATGAAAATGATGAACCCTGGCAAATTTCGCTCTCAGTCTCTTCCTCGGAGAAAAATTTTCACGTTCACTTTGTCGTTTTAAATCTTCCTGTTTTTGGCGCTCCTTCTCGGCCAGCTTTTCACGGCATATATCTTTCCATCGATCATTGATCTGTAAAATCAACAACACGTCTTTTCTACAGTAACGATTAAAACCGATCATCTGTTACCTATGAGTGCTGCAAATGTTTTTATTTTATAAATCACGAAGTCAATCCCTCTCAGTATCCAGAAAGTGGTCTGTATAGTTGCAGACGCCAAAACCAATCATCCGCTGAATGTTGTCGAAGGTTTTCTTTCACGAAACCCGCCAACGAGTAAGCCGATGAGGATATAAAAAATTGGGATGCGCCAAAATCACAGAAACGAAAGAACAAATCATGAATGGATTGGCTGGCGCGCCGGCGAAGTCGATCCATCACGTACGATCACCAGTTGATGATGTTAAAAAGATGTATCGGAACGGCTAAGGTTTTGCCAAACGGTTGTGTTGGGAGAAGCGCAGCGCTAGCAGTGTCTTCAGGAAACCACAGGGACGTCAAGCTGACCATCAGATGATGCAGCACTGGTCAAAGCAGATCAGACTAAGAATTTCAGTATTCTAAGCATGTGCGCCGTACCTACATTACAGAACGCAGTTGTTTTTCTTCCAAAAAAATTGGCCAACGCACGGGCTGCCCGTGCGAAGATGTGTTTTTTGCAGAGTTCCCTGCAGTT